GGAAAGAGATGCATGGCCCGCAGAGCCAATAGTGGTACCTACAAGACACACTCAGAAGAAACACCAGAGGAGTTTGGTGGATGCTCCAGTACCCAGTAGACCTGGAGGCTGACAACCTGAGACTTGACGACCAATAAAATTGAGAATCATGCCTGGTAATCAGTGGTGCCTTGTAGGCAGTACCCAGCAGAGAAGGATCCATATCAGGAAAAGCATGGTAAATACCACATAGCAGGTGAAAGAAATTTTCAGGAGCTAACATAATTCATCCTCTGGGGAACCTCAGAAATATATCCAAGGAAAACAAGAACTTGTTGGGGGTCTGGAGTGCTGCAATAGCAGGTGGAGTGAAAGCTAAGAAAACATTCATGACCAATGTCAAAATGACCTCACTGTAAACTTCAGGTTACTGCAGCCTTATGAAAGACAACGGACAAATTACTTCCTTGGCCCAGGCTTGACCCCTTTAAACTAGCCTACACACTGTCCCATAAACTGGGGGTCAGGAAACACAGGGCTGCCACACTACCACCCACCAACATACGTGAGGACAGCATTAACGGAAAAGCAATAAACAGGAAAGGCTTGTAGCTGAAGAGACAAATGCGTCATGTTGCTCACAGCTAGACTTTACAACAACAGTCAAATGAGTACATCCTGTGTTCTCAGAGATAAAGGCAACAGCTAAAGCCACAGAGGTTTCTTGTTAGCATCTTATTGCCTCTCATGGGAAAATGGGAGGTGAGACATGCTGATGCCTTAGTTTGTTAGGGAGGATAACACTATGCCCACGGGAGTGGCTGGACCAATGGGTCCATGGTACAAACAATTGTAATGATGGGACAGGAAGATGAGTATTTTTTCAGATTTTCTGTCTTTTTGTAATCAGGCAACTGTTTTTTTTCTTTGACTCTTTAAGCTAAATTCACCACAAAAGCCACATTCTTCAGGGCCAGCCCCATGGTGCAGTGATTAAGTCTGGCTCACCCTGCTTTGGTGGCCCAGGTTCACAGGTTTGGTTCTCAGGCATGGACCTACACCACTCATCAAGCCACACAGTGGTGGCAACCCACATACAAACTAGAGGAAGTCTGGCATAGATGTTAGCTCAGGGCTAATCTTCCTCAAGCAAAAAAAAGGGAAAGACTGGCAACAGATGTCACCTCAGAGCAAATGTTTCTCACCAGAGGGGGGAAAAAAGCCATATTCTTCACTATGTCTTTCTCAGTGCAAAAACAGGAAGAAATGGAAGTGAAAGAAATTGCTGTGAGGAAGGGAAGGCTGTGCAGGGTGAGTCTGGGGGTGCTGGATGACCCAAGGTGAAAAATAAGCACATGCTTAGTGCGTTAGCAAAACTGAGACACTGAATAAGGGAAAACCACTTCCCTAGGAGTTACCTCTCCTGCTCTCTGACCCAAAGAGATCTGGACCATCTGGACATCTTGCAATATATCACATTGATGCATTCCATCAAGGTCTCACAACCTCAGCACTATTGACATTATTGGGCCAGACAACTCTTTAGGGGGCTGTCCTGTGCATTGTAGGATGTTTAGCAGCATCCCTGGCCTCTACCTACCACATGCCAGTGGTGCCCACTTCCCTGTTGTGACAACCAAAATATCTCGAGATATTGTCAATGTCCCTTGTAGGGGGAAATCATTCCCAATTGAGAACCACATCACATCAATGATATCACATTGAACAGGCAGGATGAGCAATAGATGGCCAGCATGCTAGTGGCCTTGGCAAGATACATATGCTTGAGAGACAGGAGGATAAATTCTGGACTGCCAGCTCAAAGGGGGGATCCTCAGTGAGAGTGGGCTGCCACCTTCTAGAATGCCCCAGACAAAGTGAATTGGTGATCTCCAAGAAGAAGAATACACAGGTTTGAGAACCAAGAGATAAAAGAAGCAGAAGAAGCCACACTTACCATTATTCCCAGTTACCCACCGGAGAGGGCTTTGTCTTTCTTGTCCCTGGGCTCTGCAGGGTTAGATTTCCCATCTGCAGCAAAAGTCCCACTGAACCATGACCTATGGCTGCCACCTGAACACTGTAGACTCCTTGTGTCCGGAAACCAGCAGCCAAGAACAGCAGACTCACCTTGGCATCATTAATTGACCCTGATGAGCAGAAGAAAAGGCTGCTGTTCACAATGGGGACATGGTAGAACCTGTGGAACTCCACTCGGGTGCCTCTGGGTACTCCTTGCCCAACTGAAACTATGAATGTGGGAGCACCGCAACCCCAGCGTAAGAAGAGTACGGTTATTGAGGTCCGAGATCCCTCAGGAATGAGAGTTTGAGTCGCACAAAAGGTAAGCACTGACACAAACAGATGAAATCTGAAGGTGAGGGGAATTGAGAATGGATAATGGAGGAGGAAGACAGTGAGCCCTAGCTGCAGCCGGGATTGAGGACAGCAACAATGGCTGCAGTCCATCCTAGAAATCTTCCACTTTTAGCTGCCTCTCAGGAAGAGAGTCCTAGGGGAACCCTGAAGGAACAGATCCAAATACATACGGAGAAGTGGATCTGCGTGGAGCATGCCAACCAGCCGTGGAAGCCACGAAGGTGCATCACTCTTGAAGGTTCTCCCTCCAAGAAGAAAACTTTGTCAACTAATATTTGATGAGGGTTCTGAGAACACACAATGGGGAAGAATAGTTTGCTCAGTAAATGGTCCGGGGAAACTGGATGCCCACATGCATAAGAATGAAATTGGACCCGCACCTTATATTACTCAAAAATTAATTGAAGACTTAACTGTAAAACTACCAGAAGAAAATTCAGGGAAAACACTCCTTGACACTGGTCTTGGTAATGACTTTTTTGGGTATGACACCAAAAGCACAGGCAGCAAAAGCAAAAACAGACAAGTGGGATAACGTCGATGTAAAAAGCTTCTGCACAGCAAAGGAAACCATCAACAAAATGAAAAGGCAACCTATGGAATGGGAGAAAATATTTGCAAATCATGCATCTGATAAGGGGTTAATATCCAAAATTTATAAAGAACTCATAAACTCAATAGTAAAAATAGTAAATAATGATGGTAATAATAATATGATTAAAACATGGGCAAAGGACCTGAATAGACATTTTTCCAAAGAAGACATACAAATAGCCAACAGGTACATGAAAAGGTGCTCCATCACTAATCATCAGGGAAATGCAAATCAAAACCACAATGATGTTTGAGGCCAGCCCCGTGGCCGAGTTGTTAAGTTTGCATGTTCTGCTTCAGTGGCCCAGGGTTCACTGCTTCGGATCCTGGCACGGACCTACACACTGCTCATCAAGCCGTGCTGTGGTGGCATCCCACATAGGAGAAATAGAATAACCTACAACTAGGATATACAACTATCTACTGGGGCTTTGGGGAGAAAAAAATTTTAAGAGAGGAGGATTGACAACAGACGTTAGCTCATAGCCAATCTTCTTGACAAAAAAAAACACAATGAGGTATCACCTCACACCCACAGAATGACTATTATCAAAAAGACAAGAAATAAATGTTGGCGAGGATGTGGATAAAGAGGAACCCTTGTGTACTGTTGGTAGGAATATAAATTGCTGCAGCCACTATGGAAAACAGCATGAAAGTTCTTCAAGAAATTAAAAATAGAACTACCATGTGATCCAGCTTCCCCTTCTCAGTATCTATCCAGAGGAAATGAAATCAGGATCTCAAAGGATATCTACACCCCCATATTCACTGAAGCATTGTTCACGATAGCCAAAATATGGAAATAACCTAGGTGTCTGTCAACAGATGAATGGATAAAGAAAACATGGTAATATATACAATGGAATATTATTCAGCCATTAAAAAGAAGGAAATCCTGCCATTTGCCATGACAAGGATGGATCCTGAGGGCAATATGCCAAGTGAAATAAGTTAGAGAGACAAAGACAAATAGAATTTCACTTACATGCGGAAGCTAAAAAAGTCTAACTCATAGAAACAGAGAGTAGAATGATAGTTGTCAGGTGCTGGGGCCGGGGGAAATGGGAGATGTTGGTTAAAGGCTAAAAACCCAGCATGAAGATGAATAGTTTCTGAGGATCTAAAATAAAGCATTAAAAAAGAGAAAAGAAAAGAAAACTTGCCATCTGCTCCAAGGAGTGCACTTAGCTGACAGCCCCCAGCTGCAACACTTTCAGGATCTGCCTCAGCTTTTGAGCCAAAGCCATGTTCTTCCCAGGCATTTCCGGCCAAAGCTGAGCCCCGCAGAGCTACCAGCTTCTGCCCAACGCAAGACTTCCCTATTGGTCAGCCTTCACCCCAGAAGTCTCTATCGAGATGGCCCAGGCTTTGTCAGATCTGAGGCTCTCCCTACCTAACTCAGCACCTTCCCCCCTTTCCTCTTGCAGGGATCAGATCCGCATCATGGTCTGAAGACTTTCTATGCCCAGTTCTGCTTCCTCCCTTTTATCTTTAACAGGCATTACTCTGTTCCCCACCCCCAGTAAACCTCTTGCACTCCTAACTCTTTCTTGGCAGTGCTTCTCAGAGGAACTCACACAGCAGTATTGTCACCTGCCTCGAGAGTGGTCCTAAGGAAAGTGAAGACGTATGTTAGGTCCTACCTGGGAGAGGATGCCACATTGCTTAGCCCTCAATCCCCCACCTCATGCAGCTCCCAGTGTCGCCTGCTCAACCTTGGGTAGCACACTGGGATTTGTTCCTGCCTGCAGACAGAAGGGAAACTCTAGGAAGAGGCACAAAATGCCTTCTAGACATTATTCCTCCCATGTTCCTGGTTCTAATACGGTTACATTTATTTGTCCTTGCTATGGTGAAATGCCCAGAGTGGAAGTGTCTTCAGCTGGCAGCGACCCAGTAAAGTGGTTTTCACCCAGTCTAAAGGTCTTCAGGCACCAAAGATGCAAAACCTCACCAGAGTCAAGGGATCTAAACATCTCCATTGCCTCTCCATGGAGGCATGCTCTTCTCCCAAGTCAGAAGAATGGGAATCAGGAGGCCGGGAATTTATAATATAATTCATCTTTATTATTTCACTCAACTGAATATATTTACACACATATTTTCCAGAATTTGTCATATTAAGGGTTATATAGGGGACAAAAGTATTAATGGTGACTGTCCACCTTCTTATAAATGGATTAATCTTGAAGGTAACCTGCTTTCAAAAAACAAAAGCAGGTGACATAGACTCTGTCCTCAAAGCGTGTGTAAAGTGGCTAATAGTGAACACATCTGACCAGACATCAACCAGGAAGAAGACTCCATCGTTCTCGTCTCATACACCACCACATCAGGCAGCTCTCAGTATAATCGGCTCAGCCATGGGTAGAACACCACCATCTTGGAACCAAGAAGCAGCCTTCAGTATGGAGGCTGCACGCCAGTGAAGCTGAGGCAGAGAGATGCAATGAAGCTGGAATGTTGATGTTACACTGGCCTCAGACTGCCTACTCCTGGACTTCTTGACATGAACCACAAGAAGCCCCTAATGTGTTTAAACCATCATCGTTTGAGTTCTCTGAGTTTTAACCAATTCCTAACCCTCAGGGATAAAAAAGGAGAAAAGGGCAAAAAGGTTTTCCATAAGCTTTGCTTGAGGAAATCTAGAATTATAGTTAGAATTTTAGAACGTTGCAAGATTGTCTAATCTTGACAATTTTACATGCTTCTGATTTTTGTGTTATTGTATTGCACTGTGATGATTAGCAATAAAATCTTTTGAAACCTCACAGTCTTGTGTTCATTTCCTGAGAGACAACAAGGGAGGGTAGGCTGGGTCCCACTTTCCATTCAGGCTTGGAAGGAGGAGAGCACTAAAGAGTGGCCACCACACGCGGAAAGGAACCTGCTAACCATGAGTCCTGCCCCACCGGAGACAGGCTCAGGGGCTAGCGGGCCTGGCAAGCAGCCCTGGGAACCGGGAGGCCCACAGGAGTCCAGCTTCTCCAGCTTGTCATGCCCAGGAGTTGGCTGGACAGTGCCTTGCTGTGACATACCTGGATCCCCTGGTTCTTGAGTAATGATCTGTGTTCTGCCGCAGCCTGGCCTCGGCCTTGGTCACGGTGTCTGTCCTGACTCCAATCCACCTACACGGGTAAGGTGACTCGTGTACCTGATTCTGACCCTTAACATCAGCCTCGCCTCAGAAGCCTTTTCCAGATTTACCCACGTTATCTCTTCTTTCTCCTTTATAATCCCCTACCACCTGCAGCAGCCTGACAATTTATTTACGTACAAAGAGCTGCCGCCTCACGGGTGAGATGCACCTACCTCCCCAGCCCTCCAAGTCATGGACCCTCTTCCCAGCCTACCAGTCCACCCATGCCCACCCTCGACCTCAGATGTCTCTAAGTGAAAGAGACCCTAGGCATTTCAGCTACCTATAGTAACATATCTTTTAAATTCTTTAGTAATTTTGAGGTGTTGGGCTTTGCCTGGGCATTTTTCATTTTTTTGCTGACCGTCTCCCAGTGATGAGGGTAACCCTGCCCTTCATTTCTCCCTATCAGCTCGTTGGCCTTTTGCAAAAGATCTTTTGCCTGGTCTTCCCTGGCTTGGCCAGTTTCCTTGTTATTAAAGGCACAAACTCGCTGCTCACACTTTTTAATTATCTTCTTAAGAGCTTTGTTGTCCGTGTTCTTGAGGTACTCCTCAAGTTTCTCGTCCACTAGATCTTCCTTCCGGGTGAACAGCACAATAGTGTATTTCATAACGTCCTCTCCAAAGATGGCCTCCAGGTCCCCCACCACCTTTTCATCCTCCTGAGTGAATCGTCCCAGCTGGAGCACCAGGACCAGAATCTTGCTCCCTTGTCCACAGCAGGACCAACAGCGTTCGACCTCCTGCTCTAGCTGGGATGGACCTCCTTCAGCAGCGGGCATCAGGCAGAACACAGGAGTGTCCACAACCACGACCTCCTGCCCTTGCCACGCCCTCCTTCTGCTCTGGCACGTCTTGGTGACAGGCTGCGCTCGAAGCCGAGACAAGAATTTGTCCTTCCCGAGAACGGTGTTCCCCGTCGCGCTCTTCCCACTCCCACTCTTCCCCACAAGGATAATGCTCAGGGCCTCTGTTGAAAGGAAAATGGGAAAGATTTGTGAACCATGGGCTGATCTGGGTATGACATTCAGAGTTATACCATACATCACAGCAGAGAACCCTCCGAGAGCATCAGGGCCGCCCTCTCACCTGACAGCTCCATCCCCAAGCACAGGAACGGCTTGTTCCAGTCATGCAGTCTGTGAACTCAGAAGCAGGACTTGACCATGGTCTCTGCCCAGTGCTCATGCACTGACAGGGCACTGTTCCTATCTCAGAATCTGCTCTGCTCCCTTTTTCTGCTAACTTCTCTGACTCCCTGGCACCTTGTGAGTGCCACTGGCTTTATTACTCTTCACCTACTCAGCTGGGCCTGTCTACACATCTCATCTCTTTGTCTTCTGTTCCTACTGTGACTATGTCTTCCTACTGCCAACTAATGCTAACGTAGCAAAATCTCCTTGATGTATTTGAAAAATTATTCCCTAGAATTGACTTTTCATGAAAAAGTAACAACATATACCCTTGATGGATTACCAGTTCCCTTGCCTGAGTCACACTAAAATCCATTTCTCATTAAAACCATGTTAACCTTAATTGTGTCTTTCATTGATGAGTCAAAAGGCACTTCATGGTTATCATAATGAATATCCACTAATACCGTTCTGTGTGGTGACAATGATGGAGAATAAATTTTCCTATAAACGGAATTACAGATGCATAGAGATCTTACAAGGTGTATTACTGGGGGTTTCCTTATGGCTTTGCACTTGTACTATGACCTCTCTCTCTTTTCCATTCAGGTCTCTTCACATTCAATTATGAATTCCTTACCAAATTACTAGTATCTGCCTCAAAACAAAGAGGGAGGAAAGCCCATCCTGTGCTCTTCCTTCCAGGGGAAATTATTGAACTGCTTATGCTGAACACAATCTTCATAGCTATGCTTTCAGGATGAAAAATAGATTAATCTTCTGACACCCCCATATTTGCCATGTATTTCAGTCCCTGCTTCCACACCCTCAGAGGGTGTGCTTCTCAAGTCCTCTCTAATCTGGTCTAACCTCCCCATCCCACGTTATCTAGAGGTGTGAACCCTCCATTTCCATCAAGACCATTCCCTTTGATTCCCTCACAAGTGGCATGCTTAGTCCGACCTCCTTGCTTCAAATTGCTTGTGCTCTCTGGAATGACTTCCAGCTTTCTTTTCAGTCATCCAAACTCTACCCATTCTCCAAAGTCCATTTCAAATGGGGCTTTCTCCACACAGCCTCCCCTAGTTTTCCCACATGGCTATAATTCTTCAGGAGGCTCCCCAGCACCTGGCTCTCAGGAGGAATTGAAGAGACTCAGTAAACAGATACGCTCCTGGTCTGATGTTCTTCCCAAGTGAGGACATTTGAAGCAGAACAGAATGGCATGAGTAGGGGTGGGCAGGAAGGACCTCAGTTCAGGTCAATAGAACATGGAGCACTGAGCATACGGGGACTTCTGCTTTAGCAGTAGATAGAGTAGTGTGACTGGGCTAATAAAACCCATCTACTGCCATGTGGAGGCTGCCCATCAGAGCATTCAGGCTCCCTGTCCTGGCCAGACAAAATGGCGTCCCCTCTCTAACAGAGAGAAGAATAAAGAACCAAGAGAGTGGACAAGGAGGTCGAGAGAGAGAGTTGGGCCTAAGAGAAAGAGAAGAGTAAACCAATGACCAGAACTTTCTCATCACCAGCACTGAGTGCTGAGCCCTGGACAACAGATACACCGAGGGAAACAAGAGATTACAAAAGGTCAACCCCTTCCCTAAAGACCCTCACCATCGAGTTGGAGAGACGGGATACGGGTCATGAAAGAATTAAAGACCAGGTCAGGACACTGGGCACAGAAAGGACATAACTTTAGTAAAATGTGAGAAAAGAACAAGGTAGAGAAAAGAGTTAGCCAATGAATGGACCTGTCTTTTTTATCTTCTCTATGCCCTTCAGAAAATGAAAAGTTCTTGTACATTTTATATGTGTTTGTAAGTGTATATGAAGTGCTTTCTATTCATTATTTACCTCTTCCTCTGAGGAAGCAGGGCTTGTTCCCGTTCCGCTGCACCATGCCCACCATCATTTCCAGGAGCTCGTCCACCTGGCGTTGCTCCTCTTCTCCTGTCGCTCTGTAGTTGAAGGCACTGTATCTCTTTTCACATTTCTCGATGATGTTGTTGAGGTCTTTATTTCCGTTTTTTAAGAACAGCTCTAGATTCTGATCTCCTAGATCTTCTTTCCTGGTGAAGAGCACGATCATGTACCGAAAGGACTCTTCTCCAAAATTGCTCTGGGTGGTGCGCAGCACTGCTTTATCTTTCTCACTGAAAGAGCCCAGGGGGGTCACCAGCAGGAAGGCGTGGGGGCCTGGAAAGATGAGTTTCGAAAGCTCTGATCCAACACCCTTTGAAGATGAGATGTCTGGAGTGTCAATGATTGAAATCTTCCTCTCTCTCCAGATTCTGCTCTCAGACCTAAACGTCTGGGTTACTGACTGTTCACTGAATTTGGTCTCAAAAACTCGCTTCCCCAGAAGGCTGTTTCCAGCAGCACTTTTTCCAGCCCCACGTTTCCCCACAAGCAGGACCTTCAGTTCTGGCGTTCCAGGGTTGGGCTCACATCCTGTAGCCTGCAGCTGCTTCTCCCCTGGCCCTGTGGGAGAAAAGGACAAACTCAGAGTCTCTTCTTGCAGTAGACACAGATGTGGATAGCTTTTATGATTTCTCGTCCTTGTCAATTTTTATAGAGAATGGCAGTAAGGCACCGAACCAGGAGAACTCTAGTCCCAGTCAGAAGCGACCCATCAAGGTGAAAGCCACAAGAGATGCCAGGAACAAATTAAGAGATACATAAAGGACTTGAGGTTGCCCAGGAAATGACAGTGTTAAACTTGGCCTTCACTGGTCTTGGTCCTTAGGGCTCCTCTCATTTTGCTACCAAAGGTAAGTAGTGGGGCCTGAGGTCAACGGGCTAAGGCAGGACCAGGGAGAATCTGAGTTTAAAATGCCCCTTAGTGGCATATTCATAAAATAGAACAGAACTCAGCAATTTAAAAAAAAAAAAAGGAGTGAACTACTGATATGCAACATGGATGAATCTCCCAAACATGCTAAGTGAAGGAAGCCAGACACAAAACCACACGCTATCTGATGGCAATGCTCCATATCTTTATCTAGACGGTGGTCATATACATGTAGATACATAAGATGTCATTGAGCTGTATACTTAAGACTTGTGCATTTGACTCTATGTAAATTATACTCAATGGATTTCTGTAAAACCCTGCACCGCAAAACCATCCCTCCACACAGCCCCGTCCCCAACACTTCTCCCGTGATCTAAGCTCAACACCAACCCACGCGCTGAGCAAATGGCAGAGTCAGAACTACAGGGAAGATTCACTAAGTCTGAGTCCTCCAGGGCGCTATCACTGTGCATCCCGTGGGCCACCACGCAGCATCTGAGCGGCAGGTCTGGGACGGAGAGTAAACAGGGCGTCTAAAGACAGCACCTGAAATGCTGGTGATGCTGTGTCCTTGTTATGTCCCCTTGGGAAAGTTACTACTTCCCCCAAACTCACCTCAGACAAGCCCATGCTCTATAAAAAGTCCTTTCCAACACCCTCATTCTGGATGCCCCATGGTTCCCCACAATGGGCTATCCCCTCACTGCCATGAGTCAATAAACCCAATTTTGTTCAGCAAGAGGTATGTTCCTGGGAGTCTTGGCTGAAGGACATTGACAGAATTTTAAATCCCTACTGCTGCCTGAGTTCACATATTTCTGGCTAAGTTTACTCATCTATAAAATGAGAATAATGATAATAACAACTTCTTTATGGGGTCGTTATGATGGAAATATATATATAGCGTTATGAGGATTATATATTATATCTTATGAGGATTAAATGATTTATATATTTCCAAACACATAATAGCTGCAATATTATCATTATTAAAATTATAATTATAATTATTATTTTGTGGAATTCTATGAGGACAGAGATCTCATCTATCTTATTCACTGCGGAATATTTGGCTCTTGCACAGAGGTGGCCCAGAAATAACCTGAAAGTCCATCAATAATGGGATGGTTGAGGTAGTTGGTATGCCCATTGCATCTATTAAGCAGAACAAGGGAGAGCTATGTGTATGGACTTGTGCAGTGTGCAGGGCATGTCATTGGTGGCAATCATCACATGGATACTGAGCTCCATCACTGAATTCTGCAAGTTAGTGTTATGCATGAAGGTGTGATTTCTGCTTTCCCAGTAGGAGTCAAAAATTGGGTAGTGACGGATTCAAGGCCAGAAAGAAGAAACTGAGTCAGGAAAGAAGCCGTAAGAGGCAAGCCCAGTTCCGTAACATTTCAGAGAAGGCCAGGGACACCTGCACCATGTCCAGGACCTTTGCTGGCACTGCACCTACTCATAAGTGTTAGGAGTTCCCTGGGAGACAGGTGGTGGGCACTGACCTGAGCTAGGTCTCCAGGGTGCATTTTTGTTCTGACTCATCTAGATAATTTTTCCACTTCACTTTGACACATCATGCATTCAAAAGAATACAAATATGAGCTTAACATTTTTTAAGGATCATCTTACCATGTGGATTGTCCTCCTTCTGAGATGTAGCTTCATTCCCACAATCCTAGAAAATAAAGGGGGAAAATGATGTACACAGATCTAAAATCTCATCTTTTTGCAAAGTAAAGAAATGGAGACACAAGTGCAGTCGTGCGTCACTTAATGACATGGATATGTTTGGAGAAATGTGTCATTAGGCAATTTCATTGTTGTGCGAGCATGATAGAGTGTATTTACACAAACCTAGATGGTACAGCCAACTACACACCTGGGCTCTATGGGACTAATCTTACAGGATCACCATCGTATATGTGGTGTGTCATTGACTGGGATGTCGTTATGCGGTGCATGACTGTATATAATTCAGAGTAATCTGATCATTAGGACATGGTCAAACCAAAGCCATGGTCAAGGTTCTTGCTGGCCTTTGCAGACCTGTTCATAATGACAGTAGATCTTGAGACCCCACTGCACTACTGCTGCTGCTGCCACTGCAACAGTTTTCCCAGAATAGGAAGATGGGTCGTGTTCTCACTCAGAGAAGCCCACAAATGCCATATAACCAAGGCACTGTTCCTGAAGCTCTCTAACTGCTTCTCCACACTGCCTAAGAGTGACAGCAATTCCTTCCAAAGTCTTCCAGAGTTTCTGCTATTCCTGAAGAAAATCCAGAGGCTTAGGAAGAGCTTCTGGACTCCCTGGGAGAAGAAACTAGCCTCATAGTGCCTGTGATGTGCATTTGAGGAACAAGGGGAAGGAAGGAGGTTGGGGACCAAGCTCCCCACGTAGCTCCAATGTCCTCTTCCCTCACTGCACCCCCAGTACAGAGATGAAGCTTCTTCTAACATGAGATCAAGTAAAATTTGGAACTTTCCCCATCCAGGTGGGCAAATGGAGACAACAGAGGATGGGGGGGCCAAACACACAACTGACATCCCCTCCACCTGCCTGGTGAAGCCTTATACTCGCTCCTGAAATTTAAATTGTCATGGAACCAAAAGAGAAGGTGAAAACAATGATATGCAACCTTGATGAATCTGCTTTTCACAGAAACTTCCTATACTGTATTTTAGCGTTATCTTTGTTAAATCTCCATGTCGGCCAAGGAAATTTTCCCTCTGCTTTCATACTTGGCCTTACCCCGAACCGCTGATACCATCGATCGCCTCTCTCCCTGGGTCCTCTCCAGTCAGCGGGGATTATCAGACTTCTTTCACCCTACATAGCCCGGTTCAAATTCTTTCGTGTTTTTTAAATGCAGAAGTTTGTTACAATGCAAATGTGTATGATCTAAAAATTAATAATTTTTCCATCTCCAATCCACCAGAAAAGTAACAGTTATATAAATAGATGATAAATAGATATACATATCATATGTGTAGAATCATACATATATAGACACATAACAGTTATATAAACAGATATATACCCTCCTATGTTTTCCTATGTTTACACAAATACATATGAACATATAGAGAAACTTCCTAGGCTTTTGTTCTGCAATTTGCTTAATAATATGCCCTGTACATCTGCACAAGCCAATTTATACAGATCAGCCCCATGTTTTTAGTAGCTGCTATTTGTTCCATAGCATGAACAAAGACAGCTAACGCAACCATTGCTTTACTGGTAGACCTCAGGTTATTTCCGGCTTTACTATTTCAAAAGATGCTGCGATAAATATTCTTGTAAGTGCATCTTTATACATACAAACGTTTTTGTTTCTGGGTGAGAGTCCTAAAAGTGGGCATCTTGCTCAGTCTTTAGATGGTTAAAGTCCTTAATATCTCCATAATTTATTTGACCCTCATATACTTCTATAATAATAACAATAACAGCTAATAATTATTGAACACTTACCAAGTTTGTAGTATTTGCAAAGAGCTTTGAAAGTATTTCATTTAATCCTTAATATATAGTATTATTACCTCTGTTTCACAGAAGACAAAACTAAGATGCTGTGATCAACAAACAGATACAAGTTCTGTCCTCGTGGAGTTTGTGGGGAGGCGCCCATCACAGATCTATTCACAGGAATCACCTGGTATGATGATGACCATGTGAGGAGCACCTTGCGGGAGGAGAGCTGCGGGGGCTCATTCCAGGGGACAATCAGGGAGGCCTCCCTGAGGAAGTGAGTTTAAGCTGAGGCAGATGGACACATAAAAGCAGATCTAGGATTGGCGGGGTCGGGGGGGTGTGGATGGGAGAAGGGAAGTGTCAGGCAGAGCAAACGGCAGGTCTGAGGATCTAGAATCGATATGAGCATAACTCAAGGACCAAAGGGAAGGCCAGTGAGACCAGCACATGGAGAGCAAGGTAGGGGGTGAGGACCAGGTCAGGTCAAGGACTCTGAACTTGATCCAAAGAACAGCAGGCAGTCCCAGAAGCATTTTAAATTAGAGGGTATCGTGTTCAGGTTACACCATAAAAACTCATTCTGTGCCCCTTCTCCTCTCTGCTGACATCCCTGTTACAGGCAGCCTTCAAAGGGGAGACAGATGGTCATAAAGGGGAGAGAGAGCTCAGGCCTAGGAGGTAAGAGAGCAAATGACTTCAGTTCTCTTGAGCCCCGGGGGCCTCACCTGCAGAACATTAGGACACAGAGTTATTGTGAAAACTTAATCAGTTCAGGTATGTGCCTGAAACTCAGTATGCCCTCAATGAATATCCATTTCCCTCTCATTTCCATCCTGTTTGGGCTCAATACTCAGCAGCTGTAAGAAGATTCATTCTGACCAGTGCTGCCCCCATGCTGGATTCTGGCCTGCTTCACATTCTCTGGCACTTAGCTTTATAGAATTCTCTATACCAACATTTGCTTGCCCACACTGACTCACTGCTTTGTTTCTTATCCATAAGTCACTCCATCTGAAGGGTAAGCTCCTCGAAGGGAACAGCTTGCATTTTTGTATCTTCCTTAGTTACAAATACATTTTGCATTCCCATTTAAAAATTAAACAAAATATCACTCTGGCTGTTGTATGTTAAAGGGATTGGAGGGTAAGGCACAAGAACGAATGAGGGGAAAGTTGGTATATTATCTATAAACTAGTACAGGCAAGAAAAGAGGCTGGCTCGGACCAAATGGTGGTAGTGGAGATGGAGAAAGGCAGGTGGATTCCAGGTGCAGCGGTCACACCTTGGGTATCAGATGCAACCTGGCAGTGGATTCAAAGCTGACGTCTGGGTTTAGGTTTCAAGAACATGGTGAGCAGCACAACCATTAACTGAGTTGAGAGGAAGGCTGAAGTCTTATAGATTTAAGAGGGAAAAGCAAAAGTTTGGACATGTAAAGTTTGAGATCCTATAAAAAAAAGCCCAGTGGAGATAGATGTCAAGATAGCAATTGGAAAAAGGAGTCAGAACTCAGAGGGCAGACCTGGACTAGAATTACTAACTTAGAAGCTGTTAGCAATAGATGGAGCTCAAAGCGATACCAATATGCTATCACCTGAGGAGAGAGTGTGGAGAATGGAGGAAAGGCTATCCAAGACCCTGAGATGCCAACTTTTAGAGGTCATTAGAGGAGGACTCAGCAATCTCTAGAGTAGCCAGAAAGAGAGAGGGGAAACAAATCAGAGGGTAGTTTTTTTGAAGCCAAGGGAAAAGAGGGTCTAACGAGTCAACTTGTGTGTCCAATACTATGAAAGGTAAAGTTAGGTAAGGACTTAAATGCATCCAATAATTTGCCAATAAAGTCCAAAGTCCAAAGGGTAATACTCAAAGTAACCTACCATCTAGTGCCTCATCTTTCAAGATAGGGATAAATATCTCCTTACACAAAGCCTATGTTCCATCGCACCATGCAACATTTCACTTATTTGTGCCTATTTTCATCCCACTAGCTCTAGCAACATAGAGATCTTTGGAGACCTTAACAAGAATTCTCACCTGGAATCCATTGCCTTCATTTCTGAAGTTCACGCAAAGTGGTCCTCGGTTCTCATCCACCAAATTCTTGACCTTGCCAAGGAGCTCCCTCACCTGGGTGGCCTGATCCTCCTCACTTGCCTTGTTGTTGAAAGCGCAGTATCGGTGTCCACAGTCTCGAACCAACTCCCTAAGAGAACTGTCATTCTCAATGTAATCTTGCAGGGAGTCATCCCCCAATTCATCCTTCCGAGTAAAGACAATCATGATGTGCCTCTTGGCTTCAGCTCCAAACAACTTCCAGATGCCCTCGACTGTTTCTTTGTCCTCCACCGTATAATTGCCAATGGAAATTACCAGAAGCAGGGCATGGACACTGGGAGCAGAGAGCTTCAAGCAGTGTTCAATGTTGCGTTGCCTGTCATTGGTACCAGCTACCGAAGAGAAAAGGTCAGGAGTGTCGATGACCACAACCTCCCCCCCTCCTGTGGCCCCCTTCTCCTTCCGGCACATTTCAGTCACCATCTGCACACTGAACTTGGACTCGAACACAGCTTTGCCCAGAAGAGTGTTTCCTGTGGCACTTTTTCCTGCAGCACGTTTCCCTAGGAGGAGAAGCCTCAGTTCCGATATGGAGCAGCCCTCCTCTGACTTGCTCTCCAGACACAGGTCACTGCTTATTCTGTTGGGACAAAAAGCAACACATCAATGTTCAACTCACACGCAGAGGGGAGAGAGGAACAGCAAGAAAGCACATTTTCTTTTTGACTCAAGTTTTTCCCCAAGGATTTGGGCTACTGAATTCCTAGACTTAGACGAGATTGGGACAGGAAACCCTGTTTCCCAGGATCTCTCTGGGCTCTTGTCTCTAAAATAAACCCATATTGGTAAAATGTCAAACGCTATTGATTGGCTAATCCAACAACCCCCTTCTCTACACACATCACCCACTATACACACTGGGGGAAGCTGGACATTCTCTGTGATAGAACAATGCCCCCACAAGATGTGTGTGTCCTAATCCCCAGGATCTGTGATTACGTTACCTTTCACGCTAAAAGGGACTTTGCCAATGTGATTAAGGATCTTGAGATGGAGAGATAATCTTGGGTCATCCAGGTGGGCCCAATGTAAGCACATTGGAAGAGGTCCTTATAAGAGGGAGGCAGGAAAGTCAGAGTGAGAAAGAGGAGATGTGAAGACAGAAGCAGAGGTCAGAGAGTGAGAGAGATCTGAAAATGCCACACTGCTGGCTTCAAAGATGGAGGAAGGGGCCACAAGCCAAGGGGCATGCAGGTGGCCTCTAGAAGCTGGAAAAAGCAAGGAAATGATTCTCCCATAGTGCCCTGAGAAGGATCACAATTCTGCCCAAAACCTTGATTTTAGGACAACTGACATCCAAAACTGTAAAATAATAAATTTGTGGGGTTTTAGTGACTAAGTTTGTGGCAGTTCGTTACAGCAGCAAAACGAAACTCATACACTCTCTCTCCTAGCTTCCCTTCCAACCAGGGTTGTCCATGTGACCTGGTGACAGTGGAGGGAACGTTGGCTTGGGCCTGCTGGGAAAGCTGTTGTTCTTGATGATGGGGCAGACTCAAGTAGAGAGCTCCTGTTGTTGCCTCTTCCCCTGTCTTATTTGGAATTTAAATGTGATATCTGGATAGATATCATGGGGCAATGAGGTAACAAATGAGAGAACAAAAAGTCAACATGCACCATCAAGCTAGCTAAAGGACAGCAGAGTAGAAAGATAGAAGGATCCCTGATGACGTCACTGAGCTGCCCGAATGTCCTTGAGATCACCTCTTTGTTAAATAAACACTTAATATTCTTACAATGTAAGCTGTTGCTACTCCAAGAGTGATTCACGGACTAGCAATATTGCCAACAACTGGGATCAGAGTAGAAATGCCAAATCTCAGGCACCGCCCCGGACCTGCTGAATCAGAATCTGTAATTTAACAGGTTCCAGTTGATTCTCATGAATGTTCTAGTTTGAGAAGCACGGTGCAAGCCGCCATCAGTTACAAATTAGCATTCCCAACTGAATCAGAATCCGCAGGAAGAGCCAAATTTCCCAACACCATTGGTTGAACAGTCCATCCTTTCTCTGATGATTTTGTCGGACGCCAGGTGACCCTATTTCCACGATAGTGACCCCAGGTTCTCTTTGTCCATTGGACTCTTAGTCTATTCCTGAACCAGAAGGCCCTAATTACTAAAACCAATATGACTTAATTAGTACAACTTTAAAATAAGTCTTAGTTCTCTGTTGAGCCGGCCTTATAACCTTGCTATTGTTCAAAATTGTCTCACTATTCTTGGCTTTTTAGTCATCTATAGGACTTTTAAAATCAGGTGTAATTTTCTTTAGGAAATCCTGTTGAAATCCTGAAGGCCACTGCATTGAACTGATGGCATAGTTCGAGAAGAACTGTCATCTTCACAGTGTTGTCATTCCCTCCGTTCTTTTCATTGATGAGTTTTAAATACGTTCGAATTTCAACTGATTTCTATTTTGATCCATAAATTAAGAGAAGAAATTATTAAATTTAAAAATATATTGGGAGACCGGCTCTCTTTTTCTTTACTTCCAATCTTACTGCACTATGGCCAGAGAACGACATCTGTATAAAGTATTTGTCCTTGGTTGAGTTTTTGGCCCAATAAAACTCTTGCAAATATTTCATGTGGGCTTGAAAAGAGTGCAGAGCCTGTAACTGTGGGTGCCTTTCACACTCAGGGACCCTCCATCTCTTCCCCCTCAGCTCTAGTCCCCAGAAGGCCCAGCATGCCCTACCCTGCACTCCGCCCCCCCTCCTCCTGGAAAATTCCTCCCCGTTCTTCACCACGTGGCTTACGTGGCACCTCCACCTCAAGCCTTTCCTGATTCTTCCAGATTTAAGCAATCATCAGCTCTTTCCTCGACTCCTGCAATAATGTTATCACTGGTCTCCCTTCTCCCTCCCTCCTCCTAGAGTCTATCATCCATCAAGAGCCAGGGTGCTCCTGCTAAAACGAGACAGATCATGTCACGCTTCCCTCCAAAATCCCCCAATGGCTTCCCAGCCCCTCACAGGAACAGGCAACGCCTTTAGAGCAGTCTGCAAGCCCCTCCGCCTCCCCAGTCTGGGCCCTGGCTGCCTCTCTGACCTCATCTCCACCCTCCCCACCTTGCCTTGTCTGCTAGAGGCACATCGGCCTCCCTGCTGTTCCCCAAACCTGCAACCTTGGGCCTTTGTGCTGGTTGTTCCTCTGAGCTAGGACATTCCTCCCCCAGGTTTGTGCAAGGCAGTGGCACTTTTTTCAGGTCTCTACTGTCTTGTCCCCGTGGTGCAGGAGGCCTTCTTCAGTCACCCTGCATTGAAGAGCAGCCGGGCCGCACACTGCCCTGTTTTTCTCCCCAGGCCCCACTGCTACCACCTTTCACACCATGCATCTACCTGCTTACCGCTTTCTCTTTGTCTCCCCAAAAGATAAGTCCCATGAGAACAGGGACTTGTTCTGCTGCGGTCACCTCCTTCCCTACAACATGGAGATGGCGTCTGATAAACCCGCTTACGGCTGAGGAGATGCTGACTGACTTGAGGAAGAAAGAAACGCAGCTGAAGACAGTGAAGCTGAGAAAAGCCCCTTTCCTCGGCAGCCATTTGACAGCTCATCCCTGTTAGGAGAACGGTGTCGTGGAATGCTCAGGGGAGAAGCCTAACTGCAAGGAAGGAGCAGGGGAGCTGGGAAAGAGAGGGCATAGACCCCTCCTTCGAGAAGCTTCGCCACCCAAAAAAGGAAGGAAACGACTGGGCTGAGGGGAGGAGAGCTCACCGGGCCGCACTCAGAGGCCGGGGCTCCTCTCTAGAACGGCCTGGATCTCTGCACAACCCAAGAGGCCAGCCCCAGCCTCAAACACTCGCCCCAGAAACGTCAGGCCAAGGAGAAATGGACTTCTCCATTGCCTAAGTCCAGTCGCTGTTGGGACTCTTCGAAGGGCATCCTGGGACCCGGACACATCCCTTTACAGAGAAACCCTCCCCCAACTCCTCATCTCCTTACTCGCCTTTATTTTCTTCATAACGCTGTTCTGCCTGATGCTGTCTGTTGTGTCTTTTTATTTTCTCTCTACTGCCCTTAGTGTGAAACTCCATAAGCGCAGAGACCACGCCTGTCTTGTTCTGTGTCCCTAGGCCCTAATATTGTCCCTGGCATACAGTATATGCTCAAGAAATGGTGTCGAATGAATGATCCTGAAAGAGAGGGATGTGAGGAAAGGAAGAAAAACAGTTTTCAGAAGTGGAGAGGAAGATTAAAGTGATGTCCTTTTGAAAAGTAAAAGACAAGTGACTTTATTTTGTATCCTGAGCCAGCAAAGTGGGATGTTTTTGTACATTAACTTAAAAAAAGACACTACTGAGTAAACAACAAGCTAGAGGAAGCAGAGACCTCCAGCAGGTCTGAAGAAAGGAATTTATTTCCCTAGAAAGCACCTCTGTTTACATGGTTGCCCACCCTAGTGCACAGTGTGATTAAATTAATGAGTCTTTGCTGAACTCCTTCCAGCCAGTGATGCCATATTGAATCAGCATAGTTCCCCCCCATACAGTTGCCCAACCTGTACCATTTCCTCCCAAGCATATAGAAAATACCTTTAAAGACAAAAGAGAACCGAACCCCCGTCCCTCGCCCCGTCTTTACAGCCGCATTTCCCTGTGATCATCTCCCAGGCCACTCTGGAGACTCCAGCAGGGCCATGGGGAAAAAACAGAGCTTTGTCTCCAGAACCCTAGCTGAGACGCTAAAGCAGGCTCCCCCTTCTCAGGATGTTCCCGAGGGGGACACGGCTGCGGGCACCCAGGCAAAGTTCCAACGGTGCAGGGATTCCCCCATATCACACCCACAGAAAAAGGTGGTTGGAGAAGCTTGCAGAGCCCAGCCTGGGGAGGACTCAGTCCCAGCCCAGCAGGTCAGTCATCAGGAGGAAGGGGAAGAGCTCATGGGTTGAGGGCCCCGGTGGCCTAAATGTAGGGAAAATCAGAACCATCATTTTTGGCAAACACTGACCACCTTCAATGCTCAGCTAGTGGATCCTAAGTGTGCAAGGTTGGGAATATCAGAAAAGTGAATATGGAAAATCAGAGTCCAAACAGCCAGCCCCCTGTGCCCTGTGGCCGGCAGCCCCAGTAGGTCCTGCTGACCAGGGGCTGCTCTGGGGCACAATCAGAAGTCCAGGGGTTCCTGAGAGGGGGCCCCTCCCCTCCCGCCTTCTTTTTCCTCCCCCTGCCCCCGGCCTTCATCTCAGCCCTGGCGGAAGGAAGCACAGCCTCCTGCTGAGAGGGCTGCCAGAAGGCTCCACTCCCCAGGGGTCTGAGCCTCTGTGCTCCCTCCCGGCCAGCCTGCTCTCCCAGGCTGGGGAGACCCGCTGCATCAGGAGGAACCATCCCAGGGCCCCTGGAATCCGGCCCTCCAGGCGGTCCTCTCCCCTCCCCTTTCACATCCTCGCCCCACACATGTCTGCACACCACACACACACACGTACCTCGGTCCTGTCCCCTGGCCTGTGACCGTCTCAGAACCCCCACACTGAGCCTGCTCCCCCGGCTCCACTGCTGGCCCCATGGAAGCAGCTGCGAGCAAACGGAATCCTAAGGGGGCTGGGGGCCGCGGAGAGGGGAGGCAGCGGCGGGCCCGCTTGACAGGCTCTGGGTCTTTCTGTTCCTGAGGAGGAAGAGGTTTCTAGAAGCAGTTTTGATGGCAAGAGAGGCACAGACGCAGTCGGACGGGAAGTTCACAAGTGAGGCCCCGTCACAGGGTGAGAACCTCGGGCGCAGCCGGGATTAGGAGGGACACGCGCGCACCTTCCCGGGGGCCGTCCCCTCGGAGGGTCACTAAAGGGCGCGGCCCCTCGGGCAACTGCTTACTGACAGGACGTGGGGAAACGGGAGCCGGGGCTCGGCTTGAGGCTGGGGGGCCGGGGCCCCGGGCCGGGCTGCAGGAGCGCCCCTGGGAAGGACCCGTGAGGAGGGCGCGGGCGCGATGGGCAGGTTGCTGGCGGTTCCCCAGGACGCAACGAGTGCCTTCCGCCTCTGAGCGCGGCCGGCGAGGCGGGATGGGGTCCTCCCCTCCCCGCTGCCCTCAGCTCCGCCCCTCCCGTACCCGAGAGCCTTCCTGAGACCGAGGCAGGGGCCCGAGGACACTGTCCACCTTCGCCTGCCCCCCGCCCGCCCCTGTCCTCCTGCAGCCGCCCTTAGGGCATCCTTTACCGGGTCTCACATCCCCTCCGGGGGCTTCCCTAGCCCCGCCTCAGCAACTCAGGCCGCAGACTGACGCTGCTCCCTGGCCAAAGAATCCTTTCCCCGGGCTAGAAGTCACTTGAAATGCTTTCAAATAGCTATTTGAAAACGAGAGAGAATTTTATTGTGAGAGAGACTAGTATCCAAAGTCCCTGGTCGCTACTGCAGAAGGAAGTTGAACACTGAGAAAGACTTACGTTAATTTGTTTTATTTTATTATCATTAAAAAAAAACCCATAACATTAAATTTACCATCCAGGCATTTTTAAGCCCACAGTTCAGCAGCGCCAAGCACGCTTGCATTGCTGTGCAGGGAGCTCCGGAACTTGTCCGTCTCGCCCCACTGACGCCCCACGCCGGTCCCGCGCCCGCCCTGTAACCCCCGTTCCTCTTTCTGTTTCTATGATTCTGACTTTAGAAGCTTCGCACCAGGGGACTCAGACAGTTCGTCCTTTTGTGACTGGCTTTTCTCGCTTAGCGTAAGGTCCCCGCGGTTCATCCTTGTGGGAAGATGTATGGTCGGGATGGAGAACGCGGGCCCACGCCGGCACACCACGCTTGGTCTTCGACCGTCTGAGGTGGTGCCGAGCCTTCCAGAGACCCCGCGGAAGGAGCAGTAGCGGGGGTCCCAGCAGGCTTCCAGGGCTGCTCTGTCCAGAGGGGCCCACCTCCCTCTGGGCTGGTCTTCAGGGTTAGCCTCTTTAGGAAGCTGAGAGAAAACCGGGTTATGCTGGCGCTGCCCACCGAGGGCTTGGGGCTGCTCGCTGGTGGGAAAACCGACAAAGCCTCCCCGTCGCCCACCCAGTGACCCCCGCCCCGCACCCCCCCCTAACGAAGGAGGACCAGCTGCAGGAAGATGCCCCACCCCGCCCTCCTTTGGACGCTAGGTCACGTCACATCAAATCAGCTCATCAAAACAATCAGACAAGAGCCTTCAACCCGGTAGGTGGGGGTCATCCCAGGTGTGTTACTCCGAGAAGTGGGGTCAGTTCAGGGGCAGCGTCACAGACCTCGAGGGAGATCATTTCCCCGAAACAGAGAACAAGACAGCAAACCGAGTTAGGAAACAGCTCGCTCATTCTTCAATGAAATATTAAGCACTTGGGGGGCACTCTGAATAAAACCAAAGCTTCAAATGCCTCCTCAGCGTTTTAGCAAGATGATCATTTGCTGAGTGGACCATTTCTCGCAAAATGGTCTTTCAGCAACTCGGCTTTTGGAGAATTGATTTCCGTGAGGAAGGCTGCCCCTGATGCTGCCTGGGCCCTCATCTAGGGAACGGTGGGGGTTCCCTGCCCCCTAGTGGCTTTGTGGCTAATGACAGGGCAGTAAAACGCAGCCCCGGGGACTGACAGCTCTTACGCTACAGATGAAACACCCCTCCCCGATCCTCTCCCAGACTCTCAGAGAGGGTAGGAGGGGGAGGGGCTGGACGTCCAGAAATGGAGTCAGCCAGGATGGCAGAGTTATCAAGCAAGGAGGAGTCTACCAGGACCAAGCACCATATCAGACACAGGGGATGAAAAACTCGCAAGACAGATCCCCTACTCACGGACCTCAGTCAAATCATAGGAAAAGAGACTAAAGCTAAGATTATGGGACAGTGTAAGGTGTGCTGTCGTGGAGACGTGCCCAGGGTGTCATGGGAGCAAAGGGGGAGCACTATTAGCCACACAAGACTGAGAAACAGCCAAATGGGATACAAACTTAGAAACAAATCCATGAGCCGACCTGACTGTGGCAGGTGCTCTAATGGAGGAGATGATGAGGCACAGTGGAGGAGGAAGCAGTACAAGGAAGCTGTGTCTGCCCCGAGCCTGGAAGGGCATGTCAGAATTTCCCTGTGAAGGACACTCGGCACAGGGAGAATGGCCAACGCCACAGGCATTCCAGGTGCTGAGGGCAGCTTGGGTGTATGGGGAAACAGAGACAGCCTTGAAGTCAGAGGACTAGTTAGAAGCTACTGCAATAGTCCCAGCTAGAAGTGAGGACGTGGACTGCCAGTGATGGTGGAAATGGACAGTGGAAAAGAGAACAGATTTATGATACATTTAGGAGATGGAAATAACAAAAGAATTTTAAAAAGACAAATTCAGGATTGCTATTACATTTGCTCAGGTTGCCACATCAAGGGGAGTGCTATTCACAGCACAGACATTTCTTACTCTGAAAAATTGTATTATATGTTGTTTCACTTCAAAGTCAGAAAATGTGTGTTTACTACAGTTTTGGCAGATGGCAGTAAAGTGTCTTGTAACTAAATTTGTATATTTTGACAATTTTCTGATGGAATTAAATGTCTTATTCAAACAATGTTCTTGTTGGTACAATAATTACTATTAAGAAATAATATGTTTATTTAAAAAGTTTTAACTTGAAAAAGGGACACCATTTTCTGATTCACATAAAGGCTAGTGGTCATCCCAGGCTAAATGGCTGTGGAATAGTCTGGAATCCCAGTACTTTCTAGTGTCCCTTGTGGAGATAGGGCTGTGAGATGAGGACTTCAACTTGGGGACACTGCATCTGAGCTACTGGAGACCTGGGCAGGCAGAGAAGGCCAACAGGTCATGACGGATACCTGTTTCCCATAAGTTTTTCACACCAACCTTCCCACTGAACACTAAAATTAAACAGGACAAAAATATGTTTGTCTTCTCAAAAGCATCCAAGAAGCTATAAGGCAATAAGGAGCTACCAGGCCAAAGTAAGGACCGGGAGCCCTGAGCACCTTTTCCCTGAAGGCAGGTGTCCGTCCCGGAAGATGACAACCTTAGCTTCCCTGGGAGAGGGGAACAGTAGGAAAGCCCAGTGGGAGGCGCCAAAGCCAAAACTGCCCCAGACAAAGTTACCCAGGCAGGGAAGGGTCTATGCAAGGCTCTGATAATGCGGGAGAGGGCCCAGAACTAACAGTGGACTCAACCGCTGGCACATCGGACGGGATTTGAAGGGCTGGGGTGAGCTGGTGGAAAAGTACTGCAGGACATGGTGGGGGGTGTCAAAGTAATTAGGTCATGTGTGTTTGCTAATTGGCACCCATCAAGGGCTCTTACCCTCCAATAGAGACTAGGAGATGGGGATGCTATCTCCCTTGATGGTTAGATTTCAAAAGAATGGCTCCCACATCCTTGAAAGACAGTTCTGGGTTGTAAAAACTGGCAGGAGGCTTTTTAAAAGATTTACATCTCAAAGGGGCAGAGAAAGAATTTGCAATTACAAGTTTTCTAACATGGATGGCTCTAAGAAAATGTAGGTTGGGAGCCAAGGGTCAGAAGGAGACCAGTCCAAAGTTTAGTCAAGCTGAGGGGAACATGAACATAGTTGGTTAAACACGGCCCTGGTCCACCCAGCTCTCTGTCAGCACCACGCCTGCACAGCTGAGACCGGCTGATGGAAAACCTCCAAACCTGCTGGCTGACTTCACTTCACATTCATGATCACTGTCCTCAACCGGCCTCCCAGCGCTGGGCGTCACCCCTCTGTACTGTGGTCCATTCACTCTCCCACTCCCCTAGTCAACTATTTCCTGCCTTCTCTCTCTAAACCCTGACCACCCTCCCCATCCCCACTCAGTGGATGACCTCACTTCCTCTTTCTCTAGGAAAGCAGAAAAGAGGAGAAGAGAACCTCCCAAAGCCTTGGCAGCTGCATCGCCCCATCCACTCAGGCTGTGCCCGCAGACTCCGCCTTCCTTCCTTCCCCTTACGATGAATGACCTGTCCAGACCCCTAGCCAAGCCCCGCTCCTCCGATTGTGCACCAAACCCCATCTTCCCATCACCCACTTGCTCCAGTGAGCCATCCTCCTGCCCTGTCCATCCACACCCACTCTCTCCTGGACCACTGCCATCAGCATAGAACACGCTGTCTTTCTCCCATCTTAAAAAAAATATTCCCTTACTCCACTTCCTCCTCCAGCTACCTAACTTCCCTCCCTTACAGCATATTTTGCTGATGTTTGTGTCTAGACTCAGGCTCACCTTGGGAAAAGGTGGTCTCTCCAGGCTATAATCCCCTAGCCCTGAGGTGTTGGGGAGGGAGGGCTGGACATGGATCACAGAGGGCAGCTGCTCCATCTGCAAATGTTTTCATCGGCACCTAGCAGGACTTTGACATTATCACGAGGACTTCTGCCCCTGCCATCCAGGCTGCTGGTGGAGCAGAGGCAAGAGCAGGATTTTTAGTAAGCTGTCTTCCAACCTTTACCTGCAGCCTCTGGGCACCCTGCGTGGGCACCCTGCGCCCAGGCTGCAGCCATCAACTCTGCTCTGCACCTACCAATTCAAGACCACTGGCAATTCCGCTGGGGTTTTCTCAAGTTTTTCTTTTTCTTTTTGGTATGTTTTGGTGTGGGGGTTTCTGGAGGGTTTTCGCTGCTGCTGCTGCTGTGGGTTCCCGCAATCCTTGTCTGTCTCTCCCCTCTGCTCCAGAGGAGACAGGGCAGAGGGAGCCGCACCAGGCTCCCGCGGCCTCTTTGCAGGACCAGGCTGACCTTGCTCTCTCTCCCGGAGAAGCAGGAGGCTGCCCCATGCTGCCGTCAGGTGCTGAGCAGGAGGAAGAGTTTAGAAAGGAGTCCTGGCAGGCCGACAAGAAGAACCCCTTACCAGAAACCCGGTGGGCTGCTACCCAGGGGCACATGTGGTTTTGCTCCTGGTTCTCCACTTCCCAAGAGAAAACAGTCGTGAGAAACTTTTCTCTGGTGGATGAAGCTGCGAGAGCCCCCTTTCCACACCCTGTAGGACCTGAGACAGCCTCTCCAAGGACAGTCCTCGGCACCTGGGAGAAGGGTCACAGTGCCCAGGGTGCCAGGGGCAGACTCAGAGGAGGGCAAATGGCCCCTCACAGTGAAGGACACTGACCAGCTGTCCTGAACGCTGGCTGTGCCTCACTGTGCTGACTGCTAAGCCAGACAAAGTGCTCCCTTGTTGCTACAATGATGGTGGTCATTCTCTCACCTCCTTGGCTGGCACCAAAGGTATAAAAGAGTTGAATTGCTTCTGGAAGATTCTAGAGAGACACAAGCTAAGCACAAGAAGACTAGAGACCTGAATCAGGAGTGAAAATAGAAAGTTCTTAAACCCTAAGTGACAGATACTGGGAGCCTTGGGTGTCGTGGGAGGGAGTTATGGGGCAGGGGTCTCCTCGGGCAGCACAGGCCCCATAGGCCCCTCCAGGGCGAGGCCAGTGGCTCCCTCTATCCTCCTACCCCCAGCTGAGTGTGGGTGACGACAAATAGAAATGGCAAGCAATAGGATATATTGGCGTATATGACGAAGCCATTTGTTGTAAACCTAATTCGGCCTGACTTTGTTTTTCCAAAAGGGCCTGACATAGCCAATGAGCATACGTTGTATATCTGCTTTAAGCATTTGCTGTGTCCCAAAGACAAGAACAAATGCCCTTAAGATAAAGGTGCAACTTCCCCCACATTGGCATTTCCGAAAGGATAAGCCTCTCCCTAGGCTAGGAACTGATTGTTGTGCTCACCTGTGACCACCCAGCTCGAGACAACAGACCTGCCACCCTGCTGTGTCCACCGAGACAGCAGACCTGCTACCTGCTGTGTCCATCAATCACTGTGCACAGAGCAGTCTCATGACTATTGTAAAAGGGACATTTCAATCATACGTGAAACATCCTCTTTGAGGGTATATAACCACTCTGCACACCCCACTTCTTCGGTGCCCTTCCTTCCTTAGGGAAGGAAGACCCCAGGCTAGTCCTCAGATCTAGCTCTGAATAAATTCACCCCAATTTTCATTTGTAGATTGGTTGTGGATTATTTGCATCAACAGTGACAACAGGCTCCAGGA